TCTACTAGTATTGCTCAGAAGCTAGAGTCACGAGTCATATGAAAAAAATCAAGTTTTTGCATAAAAAAAAATTTTGGTGTCGTATGAATGAAAATTTGAGACAGGAAAATCCATTAATTTTTTATTTATATAGGGTATTTTTTTTTTTAATTTAAAACAGCATACATAGTGAATGAGGTTTTGGTCTTCATGTAGCGACAAAAGGAAAGAAACTTGGGGCTATGTAGGAGGCAGTCCCAAGGTAACGGAGCTACCGTCATCAGGCATGAATGAAAACAAAAGTATGGTATCTAAATGTTTATATCAGATATTTTAGGGCAAGTGGTTTTTCTAACCATTTTGGGTGAGCTTTGTAAAAAAAAAAAAAAAAAAAAAAAAAATCAAGATCATTTAATTTCTACAGAATATGCCCAGTACTGCAATATTTGTAAGCCTACTGGTATTGTGAAAAAGCTGGGGTCACATTATACACTATCTATATAATAAAATCACATTTTTCCACACAAAACATTCAGGGGGTCATACGATACGATACATGAAGTAGTTTTATACACAGTATGCTGAAATGTCAAACCCTCTAAATTCATTTTGATGATCCTGTTTTTAAACTGAATATAATTTCTAATAACTAATTTAAATGGAGAAAAAAAAATTTAAATTTGAAATTCGGTCATCTGACAACAGATACAGGTACCAAACTAGTGAAAATAATTTTGGAGAGGAAGAACAATGAGTCGATTTTTAATAATATATATTTTTTTTTTAAATCAGGTGTGTACATCAAATGGGAGTTATGATTTGAAAGCAAAAATATCACAAGTGATTTTATCTCAAACATTATCATTTGGAGAGGGAATAAAAAAATCTACTTTGCTACAGCAATGTCGTTATCATCATCGTCGTCCTCAAAATGTTTCGACTGTTATGCCTTCTTTTATGTGCATAGGTTAAGCCCTGCCAATATCTCATGGACTATTCTATTTTGACCGTGGGGAAAGACTGAAAAGACGTATCAGAGACGTTACTTGGTTCCAGTGAGAAAATCAAAGAAAGAATGAAAGAAAGAAAGTGTTTAACATCTCTTGCCAAGGCCGCATAAATAATGGACTATTTCGTTTTAATCGTGTGGAAAGAAGACATATCAGAAACGCTACTTGGTTTCAGTCAGAAAATGAAAGAAAGAGATGATAAAACTCTTGTGCTTAACGTTTCAGTGAAATGAAAAATTTCAATTTTTTTTCAATTGTATCCCCTTACTTCTTTAAATAACCACCAACATTCATATTCATGAGTGTTATTGCAATGTTTTATTAAAATTGTTAAGCTCAAATATTTAACGATATGATAGAATTTCTACATAGAACTCACCATGAGCTTATTCTATCATTAACTTAAGAAGATTCGTCAGTACATTCAAATAAGAAAACCGTGACATTTTCACTAGTATTTCTAGTTCAGGATTATTTTACTAATTTTATGTCTATTCATAATGTCACTCCAGAATCTATTTTACATATCTATAAGTCTACCAGGCTTAGAATATTGATGCCACATATGGTCCTGTGCCCTTGCTATCTATCTTGAGCTCCTTGATAAGATCCAAATAAAAAAAAAAAAAAAATCAAAAAAAAATCAGCAATATTATTGATCCTGATCTGGCAGCTCAGCTCCAGTCAATTTCCCACTGCTGTAAGGTTGTCCCTTTATATCTTTTCTATAAATACTTCGATGGTAATTGTTCGAGTGAGCTCTTCACTATGGTACCTATAGTTTTTGTATTTAAGTGCAACACTAGACTGGTGTAAAGATCTCATCAATTTACAGCTGAGCTGGCTAGATGTAGCCATAAGTTCTATGCTAACAGTTTTTTTCTTGCATGTGGAACTCCCTTCCAACTCCATGCTTTCCAGCTGACTTAAAAATATAATGCAATGTCAATCGCTATTTAGTCCACCCACTGTAACCCCTTGTGTCTTAGTGGTTTTACTGCCTTGCTAGGGGTGATACCAATTAAAAATTGTTATATACCATACCTATGAACACTAACGGGTATGTCCCAATCCTCATAAATACCTTGGATACTATTGTAAGTGGGGGGGGGTGATATGCTGTCTAAGTAGTTCTCACAAGCAGTGGTTTACCTACATAAAGCCGCTGGCGAGTATTGTATTTTGTTGATGTTATAGAGATTACCATTTTCATTCCCAACTTCCGTTTTGGTTATTTCTCATTCAGTAACTTTTTCTAGGGTGCAACAAAAATTAAAAAGGAAAAAAAAAAATGGCAGTTTTTGCTTGTAACAAAATCTAAGTTGAATGCTATTTTTTAAAAATATTACAACCCATACAAGGCTGAAAAATCCATGTCTCTACTGAAAAAGAAAAACAATTCGGTAAGAGCCCAAGACAGTTGTAGATTGTTCTCACTCCGCTTTTCTCGCTTAGTTAATACTAATATTCATCTTTGTGTTGTTTATCCATTTCTTCTGCTGAACTAAAAGATATGACTTTTCAGCACTACCAGAGCCAGGGATTGAACTCACATCTACCAATGAACTCAAGATGTTTTAACCCAATATTTTCAACCATGTTTTTTTTTTTTATTTCATGTCACAGATGAATCTATAAACTTCCGCAGCACACTAACGTTAATAAAAAAAAAGTACACTTTTTTTATGAATTGTTTATTAACACAAACAATTTATTATCATTTGTAATAAAAAGAAACTAATTAAAACTCAAAATAAAAAACAAAACATTTATTTTTTTTATAAAATTTAATAGGGATAATCAAAAACTTGTCCACTTTAATTGAACATTATGTAATGAAAAAAAGTCAAAAAATATATTCAGTACGAGCTGCATGTCCTTACTACTTCAGGCAGAATTTTATACGTGGACAATGAGGGAATTGTGGGTGATTCCCGAAATCAACTTTGGATGATTTCAACATATATTGGTGTCCGTCTATATTTCTGAGATGAGGTATTACGTACACTATTTGCATTATTTGGACTACTGTCCTCATCTTTATTGCCATATTTATCACATTTCGGCCATTGTACTCTCTGGCCTTCTTCAGGTGGTTGGAATGTCGAACTGATTCTTTGATTCTTTTATTCTCTCTCTCTCTCTCTCTCTCGAGGGCACATGGCACAGTGGATAAAGGTGTTAGTTAGATCCAGTGACAGGACCCAAAGAGTGTGAATTCAATACCCGGTTAAGGCAGTGGAGAACTTGGAGAGGCGAATTAACAGGAGATAACTGATATCCATTAAACATGGCATCCAGAACTAGAACAGTTTACTCCAGTGAGAGAAATAAAGGGTTCAGTTTGACATTCCAACCACCTGAAGAAGGCCGGAGCATACAATGGCTGAAACATAATAAATATGGTGATAAAGATGAGGACAATAATCCGAATAATGTAAATAGTGTATTCGTGCAAACATTGTGCAACAAACATTTCACAGACCCCCAACCACTTTATATATTATGCAAACGTTTATTTATTATAACAATGATATGCTTGTAAAATCAATTTAAATGGGTTTTTAATTATGAAATGTACACTTACAGTGCTTTGGATTTCTTTCAAAAATAATTTAATGAATGACATTTAAAAATTTTTTCCTGTACACCAGTTGATGGATTCATTTTTCATCAACCATTTGCTGGTTATTTAATGGCAGAAGATAATCATGATTTAGTGATACAATCTTACCAATTCCATCCATAGCTGGGGGAGGGGGGTTGAGAAGCAGTGGTGTCATACCATTCCCAAAGGTATTTGCATTTAAGTGAATATAATGGACCCAACTGCAATTAAAACTTGGCTCTCCAATTAACAACTCCAAGCCATTATCTATTATACCACAAGCACATCCAAGCTTACAGCAGCTGGTATTCTCATGAAGTTAGCCATCTAGGAAATGACCAGGATTGTTGTTTTCAATGCGGTCTGGCCGTAAGACGCACCAGCCACTAGTTCTTGTGTCCACATGGCCCAGTGGATTAAAGCATTGGTTAAAACAGAATTTCCTGGCAGTTGTGAGTTCAATCCCTTGCTCTGGTAGTGCTGGTTCAGTGGAAGAAACGGACAAGTGGCGCAAAGGTGGATAAGACCAGTGAGTACTGATCAATGTGAAATATCTCGGAAGCATAAAAAGTGGGATTAAAACAATCTACCTGGCCGGGTTGAATGAAGGATTCAGCTCAAAATTCCAGAGAGATTACCAAGCACAAAGACAGACACCTGGAGAAGGCCGGAGAGTATAACAGTCAAAATAGTGAGACATATAATAATAATAATAATAATAATAATGGTGTTGGTATTAATTTTTAAAATTTTATTTTTACTTTGTAAGTTCATATCGTGACCAATCAAGCTCCAACTATACGGATCATTAAAGACTATCAGATTTCGGTTAGGACTATCTTCCCAGCCCACTTCCAAACTTTTGACAGCAACCTTTCTCTCTCTTTTAGACTTTCAGAATAAAAAAAAAAAAAAAAAAAAAAAAAAAAAAAAAAATTTTTTCTTTTTTATATATAAAATTTTATTTATTTATTTATTTATTTACCAAACCTCATATTGCAGATGCAGGGGAAAAGTACTTTTAATTGTAAACAATTTTGAAGTCAAACAAAAAAGTACAAAAGTTATTTTCAAAACTAAATTGTATATAAAAAAAAAAATAAATAAATAAAATATATATAAAAAAAAAAAAAAGTGATTTCTGATCAAGATTAAGAACAATAACACTCTCCCATATGCGATTTTCTAAGGTTGGGTAAGTGTCACTACAATATATTAGTAGAGAAAGGCTTGGTTATTTAGATGATGAAAAAGCAACTTTACTACATTCACGGTTTGTGTTATCTTTTGAAATTATTTTGTCCAACTTCAAAACATCCGCTTGCCAAAAAGTATTTATAATATGAGGCATGGTAAAAAAAAAACAAAAAAAAAAAAAACAAAACACTAGATTTTTTTTTTTCTCATACACCCTTAAACACACCAACCACAGCTGGCCTAACTGTCCGCTGGTGCAATTTATAGCCAAATTTGGTCAGTACGGCTACAGTGCCTGACTCATTGCTATCCGTGGGCACCTCAAACATTGCCTCGTGCAAGTAAGGATCAAATTTGTCACCCACATTTGGTACAATCTTTTCAACGCCGTGTTTGTTGAAGACTTTCTGAAGCTGTGACTCCGTCATGGTGAGGCCCTCGAAAAGATTTTTCAAGTGTTCGTTCTTGCTGAGTTCTTCACTTGGAACAGATTCTGTTGCCTTCGTCAAAATATCTGCCACTTCAAACAGGTCCCGACAGAAGCCTTGAATGCTGAACAGTTTGGCATCACTGATCTGTTTGTTCATCCGCATACGAACGTTTTCTGTATCAGCCAGGGCTAACAAGTACTTGTCCTGCGGAAAAGATGGAAAGCACAGCAAGTGTTAAAAAGTACAAGCAATAATCCTGTTATGCAAGGAAACAAAATAGGAAAGATTGATTTGTTTTTTTTTTTTTTTTGCTTATCAACCTTTTTAGTAGGTTATTTAAAGCCAGAAAATATTTGGGGATTATAAGAGTCTTTTTTTTTGGGGGAAATAATAACGATTTATTGATACAAGTCCTACTATTTAACCCATAACTGGGGGGAGAAGAGATGGATATACTCTTTTCCCAACGGTATTTGCGTTCAAGGGAACATAATGAACCCGACTGGAATTGGAACTCAGGGAGCTGATTTCCAACTCTGAATTGTTATCCATTACACTACCCTCACCCCCAAACTTACAACACCTGATATTATTCCCCAGAGGTTACTCATCTAGGTACTAACCAGGCTTGACGTTGCTTAACTTTGGTGATCAGATGAGAACTGGAATTACAATGTGAGATAACTGTAAGTCCCGCCTGGATGAAAAAAAAAAAAAAAAAAAAAATGCATCATTCACGAGGATGATAAAAAAACTTGGCAAGGTTTAACATATGTACACCACAGAAAAAAAAAAGTGTGTAAAAAAGATGGTTTTTCTCTTGACTCCACTAATACCATGAACTTACCTGGTAATTTTTATTGTTTTAAAAAGCTATTTTTAGAATTTTAATAAAACCCTAACATATGAAATTGGATTTATGCATTATCATGATCTTTTTTTATTGAAAACTGTCAACAAAAGTATTAAAACACTATTCTTGTAAAGAAATAGCATTTAACATTTTTGTTGCCAGCTCTCTAGAAAAAAAAAAAAACAGATGGCCACAATCTATTTTAGTGAATTTATGTGGCAAGAGAAAATTTTATTTCAATATTTATAGTTAAAGTTACTCGTCATTATGTGTTTAAATTTTCTGGTTCATTTTTTTTAAACATTTTTTTCACATTTATTTCCTTATAATATGATTAAAAACAAATATTGCTTTGTAGTTGTTTCACATTTTTATAGTCTGGTAAATCTACATAAAATATGTAGATGACACAGTATTAGAAAACAATAAAAACTGCTACAGAAGGTAGTGAAGGAAAGCATGAAGAAAGGACTAAACATCAACTGCAGGAAGACAGAATGCAGGGTTGTTAGCAAAAGGATGAACCCAAAGTGCAAACTGGAGATACCAAAATCAAACAAGTACAAAAATTTAAATATCTGGGAAGTGTTTTAACAAAGGATGGAAAGTGCGATACTGAAACTCGAAGATGCATTGGGATTGCCAAAGATGCATTCCAAAAGCTAAGCAGAGTATTAAGAAACAGAAAATCTTTGTTAGGAACAAAAAAAAAAAAAAAAAAAAAAAAAAAACTGAACTGTTACGTGATATACGCCCTCCTATACAGCAGTGAATACAGGCCAATGTCCTCAAAGTTGAGGAAGAGACTTGAAGCAACAGAAACATGGTTCTACAAAAGGATGCTGATGATAATATGGACCAAACATGTGAGCAACAACAAAGTTTTACAGAAAATGGAAATAAAAAGGAAACATATTTAACATCAGGAATAAATTTTTATAACGAGGAAAGAGGGCTTGGAAAATCTGATACTCACAGGGGAGATTGTGGGCAAAAAGGACAGCGGAAAACAATGCATAACATACTTGATGAGCTTAAGTAAATGGATGGCAAAACAGGGTTTAGGAGAAATAAGAAAAACATTTATTGAGAGCTGTGAAGGACAGGAAATTGTGGAGAGCCATGAGCGCCTACATCCGGAAGGGAAATGGCACATAAAGAGGAAGAAATATAAAATTATTCTTGTAAATAAATAATCTATTAAAAAGTGTTTGGGCCAGGCCAAGAATTTTTCACACACACACAAACATGAATAAAGACACTATTTACATTATTCAGACTATTTGCCCTCATCTTTGTTGCCATATTTATTACAATGTTTCGGCCGTTGTACACTCCGGCTTTCTTCAGGTGGCTGGAATGTCAAACTGAACCCTTTATAAAAGGGAGACAGGCAGGTAAGGCTTCAAGAACACTAGAAAGCTATAACACAAGAGGAAGTGGAAAAATCAGGTATGGCTGACAACATATGAAGAGAAAAGGGAGATCACCGCCCCTTGTGGGATCAGGTTGAGATCATAGACAAAGAACACCATTGGAAAATTCATAAACTTAAGAAATCAGCACATATGCTAGGCCACAAAAATCTCCTGAACCAACCAAGCATAGAAATGAATACAATATAGGAACCAGTAATAAGGAGTGCCAGAGAAAAGCAATAATAACAAAATTGCAATATGAGCTCTGGTAAAAACATGTGATGATAACAGCAAAAAATTGCAATATGAGCACTGGTAAAAAATGATTGCTGATGACATTAGATTTATAATACCCAGAAATTCATATATAGATGTCCTCAAGGACACATGACACAGTGGACAAAGACATCAGTTATATCCAGTGACAGGACCCAAAGAATGTGAGTTCAATACCCGGTTAAGGCAATGGAGAACTTAGAGAGAGGAATTAACAGGAGATAACTGACAAGTGACATCCATTAAAGATTGCACGTGGAACTATACCTTTTCAACTTCAAAATGGACTTATTTTCAGGTGAAAAAATTAATCAACTCCAAAATGGATCAATCAATTTCAAATTTAGAATTAATATAATACTAATAAATTTAATATTTATTCTTTTATATTTACTTAAAAGGGATATAAAAATATAAACGTTCCTAAGAAATTTATTTAAAGATTACATCATCTAAGTTAATTACAGAGGAAGTAATCTCTGTATTCCAGATACGAAGTTATTGCAAGTCTCAGGGGAAATATTATTAATTGCCTCGGAGATCATCGCTTCTAACTTGCTGAGGCAGAATTCTTTAATTGTTAAAAATCCCTGGCCATCACCTCTTAAAATCCCAACAATTGAGTCAGCCATACGTTTTTTTTATGTCAGCTTTAATGACTGACCAAACCTTTTCAATGGGATTTAACATCGGACTATAGGGGGCAAGTCTGAAAATTTGGTGTTGCCTAAATTCATCCTCCTCCACAACTTCTTCAATTGAAGTATGGCAAGGAGCGTTATCAATAACTAAGACAACTCACCTTTTATAAATTTCATTTGCCTTTCTAAGGTACACCCTGGTCCATTCTTTCACATCCTCTTTTTTGAAAGAACCTCTTTTCATTTTATTATTACTAATATATCCAATAACATGGATGTTATTTCCTCTGGATCCGGACGCGACCGTAGTGCACCTCGTGCCTGTTTTAGAGCGATCTTCTCTTCTTGAAATATAGATATTAAAATTGGTTTCATCCATATAAAGAATTGGCACACTTTGGGACTGAAATTCTAATAAAGCTACTGCATAATCCTTACGTTTCGCCTTATTGACATTATTATTGGCAGCTTAAAGGCCATGGAGTCCAAGTGCTTTCTTATGCATTCTTTCGACACACGAACCTCATACTTTTCGACCAACTTATTTATAATGTCTTGAAGAGTGACCCTAGGAGAGTTTTCAGTTAATTCAGTCAGAAAATTCTTATGCTCTTGCGTAATTTTATATTTTCTTGCTCCTCCCCTAGAGTCACTCTTATCAGCCCCCTGGTCTAACCAACGGTACGCTATTGGCAGAGGCACACCAATTGTTCTTGCCAGGTCTTTCCAATTTCCTGCTGTGGCATGTGCAGCTAAAATCTGGACCTTTTTTTCACCAGCCACAGTTTTCTTGAGGTAAGTCCTCTTTGGAGCTGTTGCTAATTCTTCTTCAGCTTCTTTTGTAGAGGTTTCTCCAGAATCATCATCAATCATCAGGGTCACAAACTCAAATCATTACAACTATATATATATATATATATATATATATATATATATATATATATACACACCACACCCTGGTTGATCTTTATTCAATCATACCTATGAATCTTAAAGATTTGTTTCTTATCTCAATTTCTTCGAGCAAAGGATAAAAATCCTATTTCTTGATTTGTTTACCTTTCCAAATTTGGCAAAGACATTTCTACTCTTTTGACAGGCCGACATAAATCAGTTTCTCGATTCTGCCTTCATCTTCAAAATTACCAAACATCATAGCTCAATTGAGCACTTCTTCTGCCTGGCAATCATGAGATGTGTTTTTGTAACTTTCACTTCAAGTAAATGGACATAAAGCAATTTCTCCATTTCTGCTTTCATTTCTAAAATTCTTAACTGACTCTTCCTTCTCTGCGCTTGCAGGTTGAAATCTTCCATATGACCCTCGATAATATGACCCTCTTCCATATGAAATCTTCCATATGACCCTCGATAATATCTTTTCCCTGAAACCAGTAGTCATTCTTTTTAGGTCTCTGTCTTTTCTTCCTTCTTTCAATTTATATGTTATTGTGTACACTTAAGCTCTTCTTTCTGTTCAAGCTCATATTCTAAATTAACCTTTTACTAGTGTCTCACACACACACACATATATATATATATATATATATATATATATATATATATATATTAGTGCGTGTGTGTGAATAATAAATAAAATTAAATATTCACTTGTATAAACTTAATATCACAGAGATTACCCCAATTGACAGGAAACTTGTTTGTAAAATTTGAAATTTGAACTTTTACAAACAAATCTCTTGACAGTGGATGTAATCTCTGACAAAATAACTGAACATCTAATTTCATTTAATAGTGTCAATGCTTCATATAACATGATATTTAATACGAGAATTAGAGAGACTGCTTGCCTTACAGATGTTATCTTTCAGAAATACCCTAGTCAAACAACTTTTTATAAAACAATATCTTTCTTAATGTTTTATCGCATACACACAAACACTAAAGCAGAACAAAAAAAAGAAATATCAACCTAACACAAATAACTAGCACAAATTATTTTTCAACATAATATGAAAATAATGAAAATGAGAAGACAATGGAATTGCTGAAACCTCCTGATGAGGAAACCAAACGATTACAAAAAGGATTGTCTACGAAACTCTGGAGTCAGGGTCCTGAATGCAACATCAATCAGCTAAGTAACAAATCTTATATTTGCATTAATCACATACACACAATATATATATATATATATACACACACACAATGTATATATTACATAAAATAAATATATATATATATATATATATATATATATATATATATATATATATATATATATATATATATATATACACACAATGTATATATTATATAATATATATACACACAATGTATATATTATATATATATATATACACACAATGTATATATTACATAATATATATACACACAATGTATATATTACATAATACATATACACACAATGTATATATTACATAATATATATACACACACAATGTATATATTACATAATATATACAGTATATTACACAATATATACAGTATATTACATAATATATATACACACAATATATATTACATAATTTACACAACAATATATATTGCATAATATATATCTATACACAATATAGATATTACATAATATACATACAATATATATTCCATAATATATACACACACAATATATATTACATAAAAACACACACAATATATATTACATAATACACACACAATATATATATTACATAATACACACACAAATATATATATTACATAATACACACACACAATATTACATAAATATACACACACAATATATATTACATAATATATGCATAATACATTATATAATGCATGTGTGTATATGCAATATATTACATAATACACACACACATATATTACATAATATATATAAAATATTACATAATATATATACAATATATTTTACATAATATATTTTGATTATAGGTGCAGTTTAATTTTGTAATTACAGGAATCATTCATACTAAAAACAAATATTAACCTCTATATTTGTTTTTTGTATGAATGATTCATGTAATTACATAATATATATATACACAGAATATATTACATAATACATACACAATTTATATTACATAATACTAAGCATGTCCACTGTTTTCGCGGAAAAACAGCATAGCGTAAATGAAAAATGCCACAAACTTAAAGAAAATAAAGTAATATCGTCAAAATGCTTATGTTATTATTTAGAAAAGAAAAAAGTATTTTTTAATTATTTTTGAAATTTTTAATATTTTCTAACACGTTCGAAATTTTGGTTAAAATCGTCTTTGTTTACGTCATCGCGGGGACGTTTAAAATAACATTGTTTTTTTTGCGTTTTTTACCGTTGAAAACATTGATTTGAAAATTCTTGTAAAAATAAAATAATTGTCCAATCTTAATGAAATTTTCAGGACTTATTCACAAATCAATGAAATTATTTTTGAAATATTTTTTTTAGAAAATTTTGGTAAAAATTATATTTTTTAAAATATGTTACCCCACATTTACTTAATTTAATGAAATTTCACCAAAAACCTTTTTGGTTCCTGAATTTTTTTTTTGTTAAAAGTAGGAGTCTTGAAGATGGTAAATAATCTACTTTTCTTTCACAAATTTGAGCTATTTAACTGAAAATCTGCTCTGAATTGAAAAATAATGAATCAATAAAACTATGATATTACTTAATTAGAAAAGCTTTTAATTGCTTTTGTAAATAAGTAATATTAAGGACATTATTGTCTGAAGAAATAATTTTTTCTGATGAATAATTAATTTTACAAGAATTTTTTTCGTTTTTTAAGAAATTTTAATTATAATAATTTATAATAGTTTTAAATCGTGTAAAAGCTCTGTATTAGGAGGGTTCCTCGATATTATGTACTAATTAAGTAGAAAAAAATTTACGAATCCAAAATTGCTAAGTTTAATAAATTTAGTTCTTTACTTTTTTAAAAATAATTTTTTATGTTGTATTTTTTTACTTAATACATTCCTTATTTCCATGTATGATATACAGAAATTGCCATTATTATAAAAAGGTCACGTGATCTAAGGGTTTTTTTTACGTGGCCTTTTCAAAACATTTTGTTTATTAACAGATTGTATTTTCCGATCAGCTGTAAAAGTGTAAACTTTAAATTTTAAATTATTTTTTCTTTTTTTCATTTACTATTTCACTAAATAATTTTATTTTATGTATTGTATTTCCATTAGTGTGTGTCATACTTAAATAGAATAATTTTTTTAAAAACTCAGACTTAAAAATTATGTCATTTATGGTCATCAGTAGTAGCTGTCATCGGCTCGTCAATCAATCATTATCAGTAAGATCGAACAACTGAACAGGACCGCTCATTAATAATTGGTTGTATATTATTTTTTTATGCTATAAGTAACAAAGATTTCTTTGAAATCAGATTACTTTAACTTTAAATTTTTAATTTTACTAAAATAACGTGTCAGAATTTTTTTAAAATATTTTAAAATCGATAAATTTGTGTTTGTTTACAAATTTCTTAAAATTAAGAAAATGGCCGTTTTTAAGAAAATTTAAAAATTTGAAATTAAATTTGACAATCAAATGTATATAGTTTCTATCTGAAATACACCAGAATTGTTTAATTAATAGAAATCGTAAATTTAATTATTAAACTTTCAATTAAAGCTAAAATGAAATCTTCAAGAATGTTTTTTCGTTGTAAAAAATTCATTTTAAACTTCAATATAGAAAATTTATGCCGAAATAGTGGACATACTTACATAATACGCATATGTACACAATATATATTGCATAATATGTACAATATATACACAATATTACATATGCAATATATGTTACATAATATGCACATATATATACAATATTACATAATACATTTCGATTATAGGTGCAATTTAATTTATAATTACATGAATCATTCATACAAAAAACAAATATTAACCTCTATATCTGTTTTTGTATGCTTCATGAAATTACATTATATATATATATACACAATATATTACACAATACACATTACATAACACACACATAATATATACACATTGCATAATATATATATACATATATATACATTACATATATATACACATATATACACATTACATAATATATATACACATATATACACATTACATAATATATATACACATATACACAATACATGCATTACGTAATATAGACACACAATACATGCATTACGTAATATAGACACACAATACATGCATTACGTAATATAGACACACAATACATGCATTACGTAATATAGACACACAATACATGCATTACGTAATATAGACACACAATACATGCATTACGTAATATAGACACAATACATGCATTACGTAATATAGACACACAATACATGCATTATGTAATATAGATGCACAATACATGCATTACGTAATATAGATACACAATATATACATTACGTAATATAGATACACAATATATACATTACGTAATATAGACACACAATACATGCATTACGTAATATAGATACACAATATATACATTACGTAATATAGACACACAATATATACATTACGTAATATAGACACACAATACATGCATTATGTAATATAGATACACAATATATACATTACGTAATATACATACATACACACACACACACACACACACATATATATATATATACGTGCACAGACTCATTTTGCATCCATGTAAGCTTCTATTTAAATTCCTTGAGTTTTCTCCTATGTATTCCTTATGGCAATTATGGCAAGTTATAGAGTAAATGTATATAGTCTGATAATGTCCTACAGTAGGGGTCGGCAACCTTTTGCTATGTGCCGACTTAGGGTTTTAAAATCATTCAATGTGCCAACAGTATACGTATTTTCATACAAGTCAAGATCAATATACCTGTTCTAAAATATATTTTATATAGTAATATATATAGTAATATAGACTTTAGTATATATTGAATTTGAAACAACTAAATATCTTCTTTGCATTGTAGTAGTTATTGGTTTGGATAATGTGATGCCATAGGTTGGCAAGCCCTGCCATAAAGGACAAAATGGGTCACACAAATATATCTTCCCCATTGTCATAGAATTTCCAAAAATTGTCCTTGATATATAGAAATGTATATAGTTTCCACTATATATAAAATATATATTTAGGTTGCATGTATTTTTATGTTGGTCACACAAGCAGCACACTTTCTCATAGGTTAACTTGTCAGGTACAGATCTTAGTGCAATTTGCGCACATGTTGATATTAGTCACACAAAACCAATTCAAATAGAACTATCATTGTAAGACAATTATTAGTAGTCAATACCAAAACACTATACAGTACTATTTGCAAGGAAAGACACAAAAGCCATTATATGATTTAACCAAAACACATTAAATTATCTTGAAGTGTGTAGAATACGAGATCTGTCTGAAAAGTAATGGGATTGGTATCATAATTAATTTTAATTTCAAACAACAGCCTGCATGGTTTCCCCTTCAAATTAAACCCCCCTCAAGTCTAATGCACTTTTCCATCCTTGTCTGCCACGCTTCTATGCATTGCTGGAAGGATTCTTCTTGGATGCCTCTCAGCTCTGTCATTACACTTGTCTTGATTGCCTCCACACCTTTAAAATGGGTCCCCATTGATGATACCATTCAGCTTGGGGGAGAAAGAAAAAAAGTCACACACAGAACAAGATCAGGTGAATAGGGAGGTTGTCCCAGTATGGCAACGTTTTTCTCAGCCAGGGACTGATGGATACCAAGAGCATTGTCATGGGGAAGTAGCCACAATTTGTCCTATCACAAAAGTATGTGCAAAAAGAAATTCAATGTTTGCAGAAAGCTAAGATTACAGTTATATACTCCTAAGATATGTTAGATGATAACACAATTCATTTATCCCCGCCTCACCCAGAGCTCACACACCATACCCAGTCCTGTTACTTTCCAGGTAGACATTGTATATCTAAAATGTGTATGATATATTAAAAATACACGCTCTATGAAACATGATGTAACTAAAATCACTTTTGCCTCTGATACTAATGACATTTAGTTCTTAAAAACGAGTGAGGTGATCGAAAGTACTTGTAAAGAGGACAAAAATTTTTTTTCTTTAAAAACACAAATTTTCAACATTTCATTCATTCATAATTTTGATCGGTTTGTGCAACAACTTATTCAAAAATTGAAAAATAAATACAACAAAATTCTTGGTTTAACCCTTTTCCCACCATCTGACAAAATAAACAAAGATTTCTGTTTTTGGAATACTTTGCAGATTGGCGGTGGGGTGTAGGGGGAATGAGAGAGCGAGAGAAGACAATTCTGACCAAATTCTTTAAAGACAGTCGGAGATGCAACATGGATTGTAAAAAAAAAAAAAAAGGGGGGTGGGGGTTGGGTACTATTTACCTTCATACTCTTCAGGTCTTTGGTCAGTTTTTCTTTTTCCTCTGCCCACACTTTGGGATCAGACGATTCCTCCTCTGTCTTGGTCGATGCTTTGTCCTGCTCAGTTTTGTTTATTTCCGTAGCCGTAGACAGGAGACGAGTCGTTCTGTAAAAGAAGACCAAATTGGAAATCAAACTTAGAGAAACTATTACCATAGCAGAATGCTTCAAAATTGTTCTACAAACCAATTTGATAATAACAGCATGTCTCCATAGTGTGGTATTGCACTTAGCTAAGCTGAGTGAATATTTGGTGTACTCTGCTGCAGTGTAATAATAACTTAATATCATAGACGATGACTTCTTAATTATATCTTTTATGGTAGATCAGCATTTCTTAACCTTTTTTTAATCATGACCTTGAGTATTAACCAACTATACTGAAAATACATACATTGTAACTGCATTAGTCACAATGGTGCTGCACACACGTTTTAATACTGCAGTGCTTGCATAGTGCATTACGTTAAATATTGTGTGCTTGTGAAATAACATAGAAACTGAAATTCAAGTGTTTCAAATTAATTTTTGCGACCGCAATATTTCACGTCGCAATCACATAGTTTAAGAAGCACTGTGGATATGCTTACGGCAGTTTTAATTACACAGGCTTTAAGTTGATCAGCAATTACCCGAGTAAATGGATTTCTTGGTAAAAAATCTAGAATCTTCAGGAGAATTTTTCATTTTTGAGACTAATATGAACTAAGTAGGGTATTGTAGTGATTCGAATGTGCCCTCAAGTTCTTCATGTAGAAGGGTGGGGGTGACTACATATTCTAAAGGCTACAAGAGAAAAAAAAAAAAAAAAAAAAAAAAAAAATCACACTTATTTTTATACCAGGTTTAATTTTATTGTCTGGATGTGAGTAAAAAAAATATATGTAGTCATTCTTGTACCTTCATCTTCAATATCCTTTGAAATTGAATTTGTTACTAGATCTATTTAAGTAAAAAAATGTCTCAAAAAAAAAAAAAAAAAAAGAGAGAGAGCAGCAAGTTATCTATAAGATTCTATTGAATCAATTGCTAGGTCTGCTGTTAGGGAAATTGGCCCGCTGTGTTGTGCGAGACAATTTTTCTCTCCTGAATCTACCTTACATATTTAGTAATCTACAATTTGTTCTTGCTTTGAATCTTACTGCCACATCTGGTCCGGTGCTTCTGCTATATATCTAGAGATCCTTGATAAAATCAAAAGAAGAATCTGCAAAATTATTAGTCCTGACCTGGCATCTTAGCTTCACTTACTTTACCCAGCAATGTAATATAGCTGCCCTGTGCTTTTTCTATAAATACTTTCACGGTAATTGTTTGGTGAACTCTTCGCTATGGTACCTTGATTTTATGAATTTAAGCACAGTACTAGATTGGTAACAAGGTCTCATCATTTTACAATTGAATCTGTTAGATGTAACTATAAGCTCTATGTTAAGTTTCTTCTCGCACTTCTTGTTTGTGGAACTCTTCTGGCTTACTGCCAACTTCAAAAACTTAAATGCAATGTCAATCATTATCTTATTAATTTGTGTTCTTTTATTGTTCTCATTCCTTAATAATGCTTCTCTTTTTCTTTCACACTCAGTAACCCCTTGTGTCTTAGCAGCTTTAGTTCCTTATTTGGGGTGATTGATTAAAAAAAAATAAAAAAAAATAATAATATGAAAATTCTAAACATCTTTATCCACAAATCCATTGGCTCAAATAAATGCTGATAAAGTGAACAGCCAGACTACATACACAGACGATTATAATTGGTAAAGCCTCATGCAGAATCATTCATGCTTTTTGAAAAAGCTGTTAACAGAAAAAGGGTGCACAGTGAGCTGTGAAGTTTCCAAACCACTCTCCTCAAATTTCCAGACTGGTTTCCTACCAAGGCTAAAGAGGTCATTCTATCCTATTTAACCCATAGCTAGTTGGGTGGGAGGCAGAGAAAAGAGATTCATACTTTTCCCCAAAGGTATTTATGCAAAAGGGAATATAACAAACTTGCCCGGAACTTGCTGATTTCTTGTTCCAAGCTGCTGGCCATTACACTACCTGTAAAACACACACACACACACACACACACACATAAAAAAAAATGACAATGACAAATCTGCCCATGAGTTAAGCTTTCAATTTCCCGTATCTCACTCCACTTTCAAAAGCCCACCACAAAAAAAAATGGCTATTACTTCTCAGATGACAGCTCCAAAAATTCCATGCTCCTGTTACTTTCTTGTTTTTCTTGCTAATCATACAAACCATTTTAGTGAATCAGTCAACGAAGACAAATTAAGAACAATTTCAAGAGTTTTTTTTAAAATGGACACTGACAAGACAGGCTTTTGTACTTGGACAAAAATAAGCTGATAATTACAGATTGTTTGCTAAGATGAATTTAGAAGGCCAAGAAATTGTCCCCCACCCCACAACAAGAATCGAAAAGAATTATTAAATCTAAAATTACTAGTAATATACCTATGAAAGTGTGTATAAGTGGATATTGAAATAAACGCCAAGTGGTGACAGACTGTCTTTGTGCTTTAATGCAATTGTCAGGCCCGACAAATGTTTTTAAGCATGAAACAGACTGTCACCAATCGGTGTGTTCACTTCTATGCCCACATTTATATACGCACTATCCATGATATTGAGCGCTTTATCCCATAAATAGAACATGCAATGAAACTATATTATTATCATTATATATATATATATATATATATATATATATATATATATATATATATATTGTATTATGCAGCAATCCATCTTTTATACAGGTTTCATTAAAGACGACAGACAAGGTATGTGTCTGTCATCTTTAATGAAAACACAGACACACATAATTTAGATGTATTATGTCTATCTTATTTTTATAGATCTAAATTATTTAACCAAATATGCTTAAATAAAAATATGCATATATATATATATATATATATATATATATATATACTTAGTTGTATGGTGGTGAATTTATAACCCTAGGTTTCACACTTTTGCGATCCTCAGACAAACTTTCTGATAACGCACACACACACACATATATATATATATATATATATATATATATATATATATATATATATATATATATTAGTTAAAGGAGTCATAGTGTGTGATTAAAAAAGTGAGGACAGTTGTAGCTGACAGATGGCACATAAGTTGATACCCTATCAATATCAGCTGGGTCACTGTGGAGAGGGAGCATGATGTCGAAAGACCCAAAGCTCCTAATGAACCTTGATTAAAAACATCACTAATGATGTGTGCCAAAACACCAAACAGATGTATTTCACAAAAACTCAAATGCTTAAAGCCCCTGAAGAGCGAGTGAACAATTACAGAAAATTTGTCTACAAAACTCTCGTGTTAAGGTGCTGAATATATCAACCAGCTAAGTGATATATTTTATTTTTATCAAGGTGGCCAGACCCATGGAACGACTAAATATTTACTTCAAGGGACCCGTGCCTTCTGTCATAAGTAACACGTATTTACTTGTAGTAATTGATGAATACTCGTGATTTCCATTTGTTTTTCTATCTCCAAACATGCACACAACATCAGTAATTAAATCCCTAAATCTATATTGTTCCGCTTAGCCAGGTTGTATGAGGAATTGAGAAACTCTCTCTCCCCAAAAAAGGGGTCGCAACAAGGCAAACCACTCCATACCAGCCAACCTGGAATGCACAGATTGAATGGTTTAACGGTATTCGATGGAAGGGTCACGTAACATACATGAAAAGTACTGGGAATTGGTGCTTCCTGAAGTGTTACAATTGTGTATCTAAAACAAATGTCATTCCTCATGAATGTTTCTTTGCCTTCCCACACCGCTCATCATCCCATGGGAGTTCCACAGCGGGTGTTCCTGGCTAATGTCACCAGAGGTCCCACACTATTAAAGAGGTCTGTAAGAAACAACAAAACCGGGTCTGGTAGGTGGACCAACTTCGACATACGCCAACATAAGATCTCCAGGTGGAAAGGAGTCAACTCTATCTGTTCACGATTTGGCACCCTAACCGGAAATGGAAATGATCAAATGTGGCAACAGTACTCCATTTTCAGGGCCTGATCTGGCTCTTATAAAGATAGAGAACAGTATGAGGAGTCAGGTACTTACTGGAGTGGTACACAGAGCCGATCATTTTACCTGCATCTCTAGGATCATATATAGGAATTCCACTTGAGGTCAGGTGTGAGTTTGAGGCCCAATATCCTCTCAAGGCATGGTGCCTCCTCAAGGGGACATCCATTCATCGTGACTGGCGGTAGTTTGGGATCTGATCAGCAGTAATGAAATGTAACCAGTTTGGTTTTAGAGGCATTGGAACATAAAAGCCAGTTTTTTTTGCCACTGGGAAGTTAGTGTTAGATTGGAAGAAAGGTCATCCACCAATCTCTGATTGCCAAGACTTTTAGAAGTGCACCCATATATCGTCATATCATCAAGCATAGACATTTACAAATGATCAAAGTATTTTATTAGGCAGATCATTTATGTAAATCAGAAAGTGGGTTGGTCTGAGAGAAGTGACCCCTGGGAGACATCTGCGTTGACCACCAGGGCCTTGCAGGACTGGCCGTTAATAACTACCTTCAGGGATCTACATATCAGGAAGGATTTTATAATAGAGAAAATTTTTTTACTGATTCCATAGCATGTGAAGCAAACCTTTGTGCCACAACTTGTCGAAGGCCTTCAAGATATCTAATGCTATGGTTCTTGCAGTATGTGTGACATCAAGGGCTTCACTAATTCTGTGTGTAATGATAGTTAGGATGTCAGCAGTGGATCAGGCAGATCGAAACTCATACTGCTCATCACACAAGAGGTTTTTCTTATTCAGGTGCTCGAAGACCTTGTTGATTAAGGCCTCAAAAAGCTTGACAACACTAATTGGTCTATACTGGGTGGGGGGAGGATCGGATGCTAGTGTTCTTAATGATCAGGCATACATTGCCACCTACTTGGGAAAGATTTCTCCTTCAAGCAGCAGTTAAATAATTTTGCTAGAATTGAGGATAATTCTGGGTTGATATTATGGACAACCATTGGAATTTTGTCTGGGCCAATGGCATTATATATATATATATATATATATATATATATATATATATATATATGTGTGTGTGTGTGTGTGTGTTAATTTTTAATGTAAATTACTGTTTATTTTAAATTGTGATAGCTATTGGGGAGATGTGATTAAATATACTTTAATATTTTTAAAAAATGCATCCAGTATTATTATTGTTTAGGTAACACAAATAGCTATATTGTGGAAAAAGGAATTTTCAACAATATATGCATTTTTTACATATTTATGGTTATTTTTTAACTTTTGTCAAAAACGACATTCTTGTACATGTAGTTGTGGATAATATACATTAATTACTAATTTTTTTAATTAATAACGATTTGTACTCAGTTGCTGAGATTAATAGCTATCCTCTGATGTGTTAAAAATTTAAATTTCATCTCGCTGACAGATGTCACGATCTGTGAATATAAATTTGTTTTCAGTTATCTTTGAAATAAGAACAAGTAACCTCCCTCTACAATCAAATTTTAAAATTAATATTCACCACTCAAAAATAAAGTTTTTGTAATTTTTTTTTGTTTTTTTTACATACATATATAACTTATATAATGTAGGAAAAAAAATTCAAAAATTTTATTTTTGAGTGGTGAATATAAGAAAGAACAAGAATGAAAAATACTTAAATCTTTGAAAAGCAAGAAGCCAGAAGAAAGTTCCATAAGTGAGAAGCGTGATAGAAGAAATTGTTAGCATAGATGGTTACATCTAGTCATTTCAACTATAAAATGATGAGACCTTTCCGCTTAAATTCATTAAGTACTGCTACGAAAGAGGAAAGCACATCAGAACAATTACTATGAAAGTATTTATAGAAAAGGCGCAGGGAAGCTACGTTCTCGCAATGGGAAAATGACTAAAGCTGAGATGTCAGTTCAAGACCAATAACATTGCAGATTCTTTGTATTTTGTCAAGAATCTCTAAATGCACAGCAGAAGAACCAGACTAGATGTGACAACAGTATTGAATGCATGGATGAAAGGTTAAACTTACAAGATAGATTCTGGTGTGAAAAACTCTAGGTACGACACAGTGAATAAATTTTCCTGGCAGATTAATTCTGGGAAAACAACGCCAAGTATATTTTCTAGACAGTGTCAGTCTTCTCAGTTATTTGTTCGCTAAAGAAAAATTCTTTTCAAAAGAAGTCTATTTTTTTCATTCACCTCAAATAAAAGAAAAGAAAGATGATGAAATAATTGTATTTCTTTTCAAAGAGAGAGCGAGACAGGACATTTTGACACAAAGAATTTAAAAATGCTGCTCAATACATTATGAAATAAAAACATTTTTTTTTTTTGTAAAGTATCTAAATTTAACATTAGTGTCGTTGAAGATATAAGTTTTTACTTTTTAGCCTATTTTAGTGGCCAGATAGCTTAAAGAAATATAGCATGAGGTGACACTTTGAAAATCTGTTTGGGCCTATCTGGAAACAGACTCGATAACAGAGCATGTGCTATGATAAAAAGAAGTTTCTTAAATTAAGGACTTATATAGGCGATCATGGCTCTCCACACCATTCATTTACCTTAATATTATCTGTGAATTGTCATGACATCTTGGGGGTGAAAAAAAAGTGGAATTTTTTCTCATTATCTTCTCCACGTTTTTGAATATATAAAGTTATTTTCAAAATAACCAGAAAATTTCACACCAGAAGGGTAAATTTTCAATACCGGGGTCTTTTGGTGATTATATATTGCAAATTAACCATTTTTATACTTCTTCTAGGTTGGCTACCACACTAACTACAGTCTACCTTGTTATTTTTTAAACCCATAGCTGAAGGAAGAAACTGTATCATGGCTTTTCTAAGGGTCAGGTTACCATAAAAAAAAACTCCTGAAGATGGCCGAAGGGTAAAACGATCGAAACTGTATGACTCCACCTGGATACCATTTAAGAAAACAAATGGGGGATCATTTATGTTAGTTGAGTTATATTTTTAATTTTTAGGTTGAACAAAAAAAAAAAAAAAAAAGGACGCGAATCGGAATACAGTTTACTGGGCACGCTTAGGAAACTTTGTCTTTATACTTTAATTTTCTAAACAAAATTAAAATTAATAATTAATATCAATGTTCGAATAAATAATCCTAACTCCGCCATAGGCAATTCAATTCTTTCGTTTTTTCAAGTTACCTCAGGTGATAAATTGCTACTTTTTTTTTTTTTTGTAAGTGTGTCTGGTAAACGGTAGTCAATATCCACCCACATTTCAAAAAAATTATATTGCTTTTTCCGGATGTATGATTTCAAATGTAGAAAAAAAAAATTCCTCAGAATATGAGGCTAGTTAAAAAAAATAACTATGATTAATGTAAGGGAGGTAATTCAGTGTTTGGTATGAAGAACCAATTTGAAACGCTAAATTGAACTGAATAATTCCTGAAATAAGTTTTTAAACTAAATTTCTTCTTGAACGGAGTTTTTTGTTTTAAATTAATTCACCCCAAGCAAGGTGATAATGTCGCTAAGACGCAAGGGATTTTTTTTTTTTTTTTTACTTATACTGGAAATGAAAGAGAATAAGACATTTCTTTATTATTTTTTAGAAGGAACCAGAAATCCAATCCTAAAAAACAGGAAGGTATAAAAAAAACAAAAAACACTACTCCTCCTAAAAGATAAAAAAACTTTCAATTTTTTAAGTTAAATTAAATAAAGTTTCATAGAGGCATTTTTAATTTATCTATTAACAAAATTGTGGAAGGATTTTTAATAAATAATTAAATAATAATGAAACGAATGAATAAAATTTATTCAATAAATTAATAAAAAATACATATTTTTTATCCCTTTTTTAATCTTTTTTCCTATGTTCCCCAAAGTAGTAAAACTTTTTTTTTTTAATGTAAAAGAAAAGAGAAACAAGAAACCCAAACTCAGAATTTAAATTACGCAAGAAAAAAAATCAAACAATGCGTAAATATAAAAAATATTATTAATTAAAGCAATTATTAATGTATTTTTAAAATTAATAAAATAGTCAATTAGTAGTTTTAAAAAACTAAGAATAATGTCTTTTTCCACGTGTGCCGAGGCTAAAATTATCCGAAAAAAAATAAAATTTCGAACAAAATCTAGAATATTCATTACAAAAGATATGTCTAACACTTCCAAAAATTAAAAACACAAAAAAAATAACCAAAATTTTATAAAAAATAAATTAAATTAACCCCTAAAAATTAAAACAATCTTGCCTAAAAAAAAAGAAACCGGCCACAAAATGGGGGATCAATTTACAAGTAAATCGCAATTGCAAATTGAATACCTAACTGTCTTTTTACCTCATTGAAAAACTTTTTTCGTGAGCCATGAAGTCGATTCTAACGAATCCATTATTTAAAGACACAAAAGGGAATTCGGATGTACCTGAAATTTTTAACGGATCCCAGACAAAAGCGACAAACCGCTATCATTGCAGGCCGTCTTCGGAATAACAAGTTAGACAACGCCATGTTAAAGTCGATAACACCTTCTGGAGGTCAGCCGAAAAAATCGCTGACGTCATACACAAAGAAAGATAACTCTTACCAACTATTGCTTCCGTTGCGTTATTACCTCCCTTAGATAATAATTTTTACGTTGAGTGTCGACACAATTATTCTTAGTTTGTTAACCTTTTGCCTTATTACCAGGGCCGTCTTAACAGTATTATGGGTCCCTGGACAAACCCGTGTGATGAGGGCCCCTACGACAACCATGCACAGGAATAAAAAGTAAATGGTTGATAATAAACGTATATTTATTTTATTGGCACTTCAACAAAACTGGTGTTAAAACATTAAGCATGCCGTACAGTAGCAACTAATTAACATGATAAACATTTCAACAGTACTGCTAGGAAATTTGTCCAGGCTTTCCCGCATCAAAGGGTTGAAGTTAAAAAGTAGGGTTGAGGTTTAATTTTTTTTTTTTTTTTTTTTTGCGAAAAAAAGTAAAACTACAAGATTAGAGCAGACAAACTCTCTCTTTTAGGCGCGTACGAATAAATAAAAAAAACTCCTGCTCGGTGAGTAACAACAAAAGAATAAAATGTTTATTTACAACATATACAGCAAAAAAAAAAAAAAAAAAAAAGAAAGGGATAAAAGGACAATTAGGAGAGAAAGAAAAGGAAAAGAGAAAATGTTCTTAACTTAAAAAGGCTTGCTTAAAATATTTCTCTGAGCGCCTAAAGAGTTCTTTAAGCGATTATTGTTAAAGTTCTGATAGAAACACTCACAGTTCTTGCAGAGTTGGAAATTTTTTCGCAGATGAAGGAATCCTGCAGCTGAGTGAGTTTTTCTGGGCTCGTCAGAAGGAGAGGTGAAGGGATGAAGCTTTTTGGATTGGTCTTGAATAGTGGACCGACGTTCGTTTTTGACAGTTCTTTTTAGTATTAGTTCTTTGGTGAAAGAGGTGTTGGAGCTTCCTAATGTCGACCTCACAGACGGTGGGCAGAAATCTCACTGTCGAAATAGGCAAGATTCTCCAAATTTATGGAGCTTTGGTAGGCTCCAATGGATCGAGGACTTTTCCCTCCAAAATTGTTGTACAAATTTCCTGGCCCCTCTATTGGTCAGAAAACCCATTCTTAACTCTGATAAGAATCAGGGCCCTGGGAGCCGGTTTCGAAGGTACTGAAAACAGGTTGAAGTGAAGAAGCTGTGAGGTTTCTCCCAGACTTTATGGCACCATGGAAAGAATAATGGTGGTGGAATTCCTTTTTATTTTTCCAGCTCTCTCCTTAGTCAGAAAATATATTCTCATCTCTGATAAGAATGAAGGCCTTGGGAGCCGGTTTTGAAATTAAAAAGAGGTTGGAGTGAGGATAGAAAAAATAGCGAGAATGTGAACTTGTGAAATTGTTGTTCTCAATTTAAATTCCAACAGTACACAAGGCTTGAAAAACACAATAATACTCAGTAAGCCACACACGTGAGACGGCAAAGTATGAAATTGCCACGAACTTCTTATTATAAGACACATTTACGGAATTTTTTTCAGAGAATTGCTTTATTATTGGCTTGAAGTTATGGTGGGTTATCAGTTATAGCGAAGTGTATGAGTGTTGAAACAGATTAATTTGATTTGGCCTTGTTAGTTAGATAGCCCACCATAAGAGGTGTATAAAACAAGAAAATCAAATCGTAAAGTGAAACAACAAGTTTATATACATATAAATCAATTAAGGTCTTTACAAATAAAATGAATGTATTTTGGTTGATACAAGGTCGTCAAAATGTTCGTAGAAGCCCTTGCAAGAATGAATATGTGTACGTAGGCAGGAACGTATGTATGTATGTATGTATGTATGAGCGTTATTGAAGGATAGGAATGTCTTTGAAGTAAGCGCTCAGTCTTAAAATGTTCCGTTCATTTATCAAGTATAAAAGTGGTGAGGGAGAAAGATAGAGATAATAATAACGATCGCTTGACGTTTGTCAAGGGACGTGTTAATAAGCTCGTCACTTTCTCTCTGGTGACAGGTGAAATTGCCCGTCTTTTATTTTGTTTGTGGGACTTGAAAAGGTCATTTGGGAATTCACTCCTGGGTATGATTCGGGCTTTTCCATTGGACGATGAACAAACTTCGCGTCGGCTCGCGAAAAGGTCCATAAAAGAATTTGTTTTTGAGAATTGAAGATTATTTGAATTTTGTTTTTAAATGTTTCCTAGTTTTCTATTGGCCGAAAAACATTTCGCATCAAGGTGTGAAATTTCACGAGTGCTTGAAGATGCTCACATTCATGCAAAAGGTCATCATAATTCAGGTCGTTTTGATACATATTAGCCAGTTGTTCACATATTTTTTTTAAATACATTAGAAGCTTTAGGATTCAACTTCTACCAAAATATTTCTTTGACTCAGTGAATTCCATTGGTTGTAAAATACTTCAAATCATTTTTCATGTAATATTTCACTTGATTGAAATTTTTGTACAAACTAAACACCAAAGTGGATCACAGAGCCTTGAATAATTCTCCGACTTCTGATTGGTTAATATATGTGAAAAACATTACAACGCCTATGCAGTGGTGTTCAAAACTAATTGACCGCCAAAAAGTTCTAAAAAGAATTAAACATGTTCACGAGCCGGTCATATGACTGGTAAGTAAATAAATACTCGGTGACATCTTCACGCTTCCTCTTCTCTCACCTACAAGCGATGTAAGCTTAGTAGAGAAATCGCGTTTCTCCCTTAAGGGAAAACGTTATGAAACGTCATTGTGACGATCTACATCACACACATACATACATACATACATACATACATACATGCACAAATACAAATTATACAACGACAAGCATTCATTGGATAATAAATCAACACTACTTTATAATAGGCAATTTACAAATCGCAGCAATGCGACAATTTTGTAATCGCTTTATTTTCATGTGGTCGATTTTGTGCACTTTTGGGAGAAACGGATCCCAGAAGCTTTCTTAAGTCTCCCCAAAACTCGCTCGCTGATTGGACAATGTCAACCAATCAGATTTCTGCACGTGAAGAACAATTCTTCCCGCGCAGCGATTCGGAGCCGATGATCACCTATATAAGCAAGAAACATTCTTAGATAATTAGTGAGATTTCAGCTGCCTAATGAATCCACGACAGTTGAAACTATGCGCCAACCTTCTCACTCACACGTTGAATATTCCTTACACTCACACAATATTTTTCCTTACACAGCAAAACTGTTGAAAACATTTATTACCTGAAACTATCACAAAGTTTCTTCTTTAAGTGAACTTTGGAATACAAATAATAGGTAAAGAGAGACAACTCTTGTTTTACTCAATGTTTTTTCTTTCGCATCCTTGTTTGTACATCTTGTTAAATATATATGTGTAATGATGTCTTTGGCTTATCCTTTTTTCTTCACGTCAATATTTGGTTTCCTAATCTAAGTTAAATTAATGTAGTGAAGTCCGCCACATCATGACACACGTACATCTATGAACATCTACGAACATTCATTCTTTCACCAACAACGACAGAAAAGCTTAACATTGTGAGTAACAAATTGTTTAATTTTCTTACAAGTAATAATACATCTTACTAAAGTTTGCTAAACTCACACACTTCTTAATACACATCACAGTTTATCAACAGAAACATTTTCCTCACTCAAAATTCCAAGGACAAGTAAATTTCAGCATTTCAAACACAAAAGAATTACTGTCTGTACAATTGCTTGTAGAGGCATATTAAGCGGAATGACCATTGTGGATGTTTACGGGTGCGTGAATAACATGCCCACACAATTTATATTAAACATAAAATACCACAAAGCATGAAATACAAGAAGGAGCAAAATGGTTTTAAAATAAACATAACATTGTATTTATTTGTGTGTTGATGTACATGCATAGAAGTTAAAGATCTGATGGAGTTATGTCTCTTAGACTGGGAATATTTTTATTGGAGCTCACAAAGTTGAATTAATTATTAAACTGTAGTTTTAGAAGAATAAAGTTCTTGTTGCATGTTTGGAAAATGTTCTGTGTGTTGCAATGTAGATAGGAAAAGTTCGTAAGAGTTTCTACGTACGTGAATGCGGGAAATATTATTTAACATCTGACCGTCATGGTCGAGACGATAATTCTTTGGGACTACATTTTGCAGCAAGAAGAGAGAAAAAAAGAGAAAGAGGCAAACTCGTGTTTGCTATTTATAGATAATGTAATCACGTGACAGGATCAAAAGAACTTGGCGGGAAACTTGACTTGGTCACACGCTGGAAAATATATTGTGTGTGGGTGGATTGCAACGCCCACTTGTGTGTTTATTGACCAATTAGAAGCTGATATTTCCTGAAAATATTTACTAAGCTGAGAAGGCTCTTGGGATCCGATTCTCCCAAAAGTGCACAAAATCGACTACATAAAAATAGAGCGATTATAAAATTGTCGCTACAGCTGCGATTTATAAATTGTCCATTATATAGTAGTGTTGATTTATTATCCAATGAATGCTTGTTGTATAATCTGAATTTGCGTAAGTATGTATATATATATATGTGTGTGATGATGATCATCATCATCACATGCTGTTATGCATTTATAAATTCCATTTACTTATGTAACTTTTCTTCGTGAATGTTATTCTTCGTGTTTGCTTATTCCTTCTTAGCACATTTGTAAAGTAAAATTAGTACGGGTTGATTGGAGGCCATTCAACCCGCCACACATCCGAAAAAAAATTATTAGTTAAAAGCAGGACTCCTTGGAGAATGTAAATCATCAAATTTCTTTTTTCAAACTACTACACATTTCCCGAAAATTTGCTCTGAATCGTAAAATAAAAAAAATGCAATGAAACTACGACATTATTTAATTAGAAAAGCTTTTGCTTTTGTAGGTACCTCCACTCTTAGATATGGAAATTCTTTCAAAAATCAAATAATTATAGGATTTTAATGAAATTTTCAGAACTTTTTTCACAAATGAATGAAATTATTTTTGAAATCTTTTGTTTTAGAAAATCTTTGTAAAAATCTTTTTTTATGTTAACTCCCCCCCCCACACACACACATACACTTACTTAATTTCATGAAATTTTGAGAAATTAAATTTCAAGGCGAAAAGTTGTTTTATTATTTAAAAGCAAGACTCCTTGGAAAAAAGCCAATCGTCAATTTTTTTTCAACTCCAAGCCTTGGAGTCCAAGGACACAGAAACAAACTTATCAACTTCTAACAGTGGGATTTTCTTCAGCAACAAACACGCCGCGCCTGAGCACGTGTGATTTTCGACAATCATCTCAAGCGATTTCATCCCTCTTGTTCGGTGAACGAATTTGAGCGGCAAAATCCTTTAGGCTGATTTTTCAACTCGGGAGTGTTAAACTAAAAAACTACATTTTTAGTACCAAATACACTACTTCTCGATTTTCAAGCGAAGACTACAATTTTCTCTCCCTCAACAAATTTCTTTGAACTCATCTTACAACAAACTTTCAAAAAGTATCTTTGTCGAACTTTTTTGTAGAAGACCAACACTTTTTCTTCTTTGAAAGCCTTAAGCAATTCAACTAGCAATTAAAGGTAAATAACTCCTGTTATATTTAAACATTGAACTTTAAATATAGAAATTGTATTTAATTCTTTTACAAATAACAAAACTAAAGTTACTAAAGTTCTCAAAACTCACACACTTTTTAATACACATCACAGTTTATCAACAGGAACATTTTCCTCTCTCAAAATTCCAAGGACAAGTAAATTTCAGCATTTCAAGCACAAAGAAATTACTGTCTGCACAATTGTTGTTATGCATGTATAAATTCAATTTACTTGTGCAATTTCTCTTGTTGAATGTTATTCTTGTTTGCGTATTGCTTGTTAGCACATTTGTAAAGTAAAAATAGTAAGGGTTGATTTGAGGCCATTCACAAGTCTGGCATAAGTTACCTGCAGACCTTGTCTGGAAGGATATTTACGTAAACGGTTTTGGACTGCTGATTTTCATGTGAGCTTAGATGAAATCCGGCACGAGATAGAACAACCTTTCCGCTATATACAAGCTGAGACTGAACATACTTCTGGGATCGGGTCTACATCACATTTCCCAGGATCCCTTTTCAACTTCAAATACACTAAACTTTTGTGCTCAAAACGATTGCGACCATCAAAAAGTAAGCCTCCATCAGCAAGACCTATTCTCCGCCTCTTTTTTTTTTTTATGAAACATATATTTAGTAGTGTTTCCTCGCCTGACAACGCATACAGTCAGTTATGTGCCATGCGTAATACATACTTCGGCGATCATGTATCTTTCGATGCATGACTGACGAGGCAGAAAGTGTTTTCTACGTATATTTCTTCTTTGGGTAAGTACTGAGAGCTGCAGATTTTTAGTGCCTAAAATACACTCCTATAAGTATTGCAGATTTGATCGTGTTACAGTGGTGGGAATATATATCAATCATATATATGTATTTATATCTATAAATAAATTTATATCTATTATATCTTAAATACGGTCACATCACGTTAAAACATTGGTTCCCGTACGATCGCCGAAGTTAAGCAACGTCGAGCCTGGTCAGTACCTAGATGGGTGACCGCGTGGGAAATTATAGGTGTTGTAAGCTTGGTGTTATGGATAAAGGCTTGGATAAGTTCCATTTCTGGTTGGGTTTGTTGTATTCACTTACGCGTAAATAACCTTGGATACCCTTAGAAAGGTATGACGTCACTTCTTCTTCCCCCGCTCTCACCACTGGAGAAGAGGTGGATTAATGGGTTAATTAGTAAGACTTGTATCATTAAGAGGTGGATTCTATCATTGTTATATAGGAATAAAGTGTCGCTGCCGACACTTGAGTTCGAACATAGATCGCCAATGAGCAAACACAGGCGATCCCGTTATTGAATTAAGTAGACCACGTGACCATAGAGAAAACGCATATATGTAGGAAGTAGCTGATGCTAACGATCGCTATTCTTAGTCTATCCTCTATACTATACGGATCTGCATTTCTAGTCTATTCTCTATTACTATACGGATCGCTATTCTCTATTCAGATCATTATACTATTTCTCTATTCGGATCACTATACAGATTACTTTTCGAGCAAGTATTAATGCAAGTGCTATTCTAAGGTGTCTGACACTAGTATTGTTCAACGACGTTACTATAAATGTATCTACGATTACAAAGTCTCTACTACAACGAGCATTACGAAAGTGACAACGAATATTCGTTGACATCACGAAAGTGCCAACGAGTGTTCGTTGACATCAGAAAAATTGGTCGATTTGTATCATTAAAAATATGATCTCAAAATAAATAAATTAATAAAACTGAATCTGTCTATATTTTTTGAGCATCAGGTATTGTAACTCTGTACAGTATTTACATCGTTCGGACCGTTGTGCTCATCTTTATTCACAACGTTTCGACCGTCTTACGTTCTGGCCTTCTTCAGGTGATATACAAGAATTCCAACGTTTATCACCTGAAGAACAATGTCCGGACAATGTGTAAATAAATAAAATTGGTGTACAAAATATTTAGATTTCGGCATTAAATACAAAAACCATAGAGAGCGCTTCGGCGTGGTGTCATGGTTGTCTTGCTCGATCAATTACGACTAAAGAAAAAAACAACCAAAGAAACACACAGGACACAAGAGAAAAATGATGAAACAGCGAGTAAGCTATTTGATGAGTTTTTGTGAATGGATGGTAGACAAGGGACACCATGGGATGCGAAAAAGTTGTCGAGAACAATAAAGGAACGGGGAGTTGTGGAGAGCCATAATCGCTCAGGTAATCAAGGCAAAAAGGATTTTTTTTTTAAAATAAAGGTGCTATTTAAACCGATACCACTTTTAATGTCAGTTCAAAGTCTAATAACCTGTCAAGGTCCTAGGGACACCACATGTACTGGAGCTATAACAGCAGTGGTGAGTCTAGGACAAAATAGACAGAGTCTATCCATCTCCAGTTTGAATTCAGAGTTTTCCTTCTCCTAGAGCGAGTGCCACCTAAGACTAAACGACGCGGTCTGTTGTGCTATTTTTGCCCACAGCTGATGAATTAATACCTTTCCCAAGGGAATGAAAATGAACTCGACTGGAATTCGAACTCAGCTCTCCGATTCCTCAATCCGAGTCGCTGTCCACCAAGGTACATAGCAGGAAATCGAAATAGAGAAAATGTAGAGATTAAAAACAAGACTAGTACTAGTGATAGTAGGTGCGCTTGGAATGATAAAAAAGGAACACAACAATACATTGAAAAAATCCTTAGAAATCCTAGCTTAAGAGAAATACAAAAAAATGTCTTGATAAGTACAGCCCACACACTAAGAAGAACGTTGTCCATGTATTCCTAGTGATGTTTTAAGTGAGTTAGAAAAACAAATCATGAAATGCAGCCATAAAAACACACCACTACCTGCCTTAAGTCTTCCCGCAGACTTGGTAGGTATTGTGATCTTAGCAGAAATCGAATAATAATAATAATAACCGCCTAGACATTGTTATTAAAAACCGCAAACAAAAAAGTGCCTCCTTATTGGTATGGCAGTCCCTGCGGACCAATGTATCTTTGAAGATCTTCAAAAAGCTATCAAAATACAAGGACCTTGAAAACAAAATATCAAAAATGTGGCACATGAGAACATCAACAATCCATGTTGTAGTTGGAGCCCTCGGATTGGTCGGAAAAGATTCCAGTAGACTAATTGAAGGGATTCTTGGAAGCGCATGCCTTAAAGAAATATTAAAAAAATTGTTCACACCAGTACAGCCCACACCTTACGAATAGCTTTATCTATGTAATTTTTTTGTTTTGTTTTGTCAGTGGAAAATGTTATGATGCCATTTCTAACCTTAGGTCTCTGGGCGGTATCCAGAAAGAAATGTGTACACACCAGAAATCAAAGGAAATAATAATAATAATATCGACAAATTGTCCAACCACAAGAACCTGGAGATCAAGATTAACAGGATGTGGGGAATGAAGACTGAGATTGTACCAATAGTAATCGGAGCCCTAGGCCTCGTGAGAAAAGGAATGAAAAATTTAAAATTTTAACAGTGTCCTATCAACATACAAGTTGCCCAGAAGATCGCCTTACTACGGGGCATCCCATACACTCAGAAAAGTACTATGAAATAAATGGCAATTCTCATATAGTGCCTACGAAGCATAGTTTGAACCGGATGCAAGCAGGAAACGCAAATGATAATAATAATAATAATAATAATAATAATAATAAATTGCCAACCTTGGACCAAGTGACTCTATGCAGAATCGACTAATAAAAAAAAGTAAACGAACGAAATGGAGCCGCGAAGAGTATCGACAAGTCATGACATCCTTCTTCACTGCACTCGAAAACCCAGCAAAGAACACCACCAATCAAACATACCAAATATGGAGAAGTGCGGTGAAAAAAATGTAAGACCCTAACCTTAATCCAACATGCTAAATGTGTCCATAGGGACATCATGCGAAACAACAGACTCTCACAGGCAGAAATAGATAAGATAAAATTACATATAAGACAAAATACTATGACCCATCACTCAAACTCTATTGAGACGAATGTAGAAATAAGGAATGCAACAGAGTATGGGGTGGATGCTGGAAGAAATACGGAATAATCTCCCAAGAAATGAAACCCAAGACTCTAATAAACACAACCTACAGTCCTCCAGAAACTGCACCTGAGTCATCTTCAGTGACAATAAAGAATTCCTTGAAAACCACGGAGCAAAAATCACCGAAGCGAAAATGACGTCATCCAAGTGCTCAGCAGAGTAACTTTCATACAATGGTCAGACAGAGACCAGCTCCTGAAAATCCATATGACGAACTCCAACAGGCACATCGTGAAAATATACAATGCTGCTCTGGAAACACTGTTAACAGATAAACCACGGGAAACATCACAGAAGTTAACAACGTCATATACGCCACAGCATTAGCAGCGACTCGGAAGCTTGAGTCAAGACAATAAATAAAATTAACAGATGACAGAGAACCAGCTTGGAAAACCAAACTGATTCGAGAAATAGAATAGATCAGATGTGAGCTTTATATTAGATGAGCTCACCAGAAACCCTAATATTTCCACACGTAAATTCAAAAAGATTGGAAATATAACATTAAACCCTAATTGATATTCCATCAATCAAGGAAATGCTGAAGCAGAAACTTCAGCTAAAGGCGCAGAGAACAAGACGATACGAAAAACGTTGTATGTTCTATCGCCAAAATAAAATATTCCGAACAGATCTTAAGAAATTTTACAGGGAAATTGGAAAACACCTATACATGTCGAAAGGCCACCATCGATTGATAATGTACAGACATTCTGGGAAAATATATGGAGCAGCCCAAAGGAGTATAACCCAAATGCAGAGTGGATACGGCGTGAAGAAGAACGAATGCTGGATAACCTCTGCAAGAATGGAAAAAATATATCCACAGATGATGTTAGGAAAGCTCTAACGAAATCCCAGGAAGTGACAAGTTGCCCAATTTCTGGTTGCATCATCTCACATTTACCCATGAAATTTTGCAAAAAAACATTATCAACGCTTGTAAATAATCCCTATGAAACCCCGGAATGGATTACTGAAGGTATGACATACCTCATACCAAAAAACAACTGAAACAGACGACCCGAAAAAATTATAGACCGATAACATGTCTCTCCACAACGTATAAGTTGATCACGTCTGTACTCGACGAACCGTACTTATTCCTTTCTCGAAACAAACAGCATTCTCCCGCTGGAACAGAAGGGATGCAGAAGAGGTTCATATGGCTGCAGGGGATCAACTTCTGATAAATAAAATGATCCTGGAAAATTGCAGGAGACGACGCAGGAACCTAAGTGCAGCGTGGATTGATTATCGTAAAGCCTTTGATAGTGTTCCACATTCTTGGATCCTTAAGACTTTGGAAATGTACAAAGTCTCCCCTGTGGTATTAAATTTCCTTAAGCACAGCATGGGAATGTGGAACACCAAACTATACCTTAGTCACACGGGGGGGCACTGCCATATCCAACCGTCTGAGTATCCGACGTGTGGAATCTTTCAAAGGAGATTTTCTGTCACCCCTTCTGTTTTGTTTATCCTTAATCCCTCTTACATGAACTGAACAACAGTAGCTATGGTTACCAAAATAAATAAGAAAATATTCAATCACCTACTCTACATGGATGATCTCAAACTCTTTGCCAAAGACGACAATGAGTTGAAAGGCCTCCTCAATATTGTAAAATACTTCAGTGACGACATAGGTATGGACTTCGGATTAGATAAATGTGCAAAAGTAACTTTCAAGAAAGGTAGAATTACAGAAACATCCTTAATAGATTTAGATTTTGTCACAAAGATTAGGGAACTGGAACATGGTGAAGCTTATAAGTACCTAGGAATTAGCGAAGGAGATGGCATACAACACCCCCAAATGAAGGAAAAAATAAGAAAAGAATACTACAGGCGTGTACGCCTGGTACTAAATACTGATTGAACACAAAAAACAGGGATATCAGCCATAAACACATTGGCTGTCCCTGTGGTGCAATACAGCTTTAATGTCCTTAACTGGACCATAGCTGAAAT